GAGACATGAGATGAGACAAGACGAGAGGGCGAAAGGGCGAGAAAGGCCGGCGCGCGCCGACAGCGCTCGCAACACTCGCCGCGCCTCGCAGCAAAGGCACCTAGGAAAAGAAGCACTGCCCCCTAGGCTTGGTCGGTGTGTTTCTTTTTCTAGGCCTCGCAGCATCGGCACCGCCGCCGCCGCCGCCGGTGCAGGCGCAGCATCATCAACTGTCGGCGCTGCACAATGCAGCGCTGCGACGGCGCCGCCGCCGGCCTTCTGTGTGGCCCGCTGGAGCAGCATCTCGGAGCCATTGCTGCCGCCGCCGCCGACGCCGTCGCCGTCTCCGCCGCCGCCGCCCTCGCCGCGGCCAATCTCGCCCAATCTCGCCCAATCTCGGCCAATCTCGCCCACGCCTCCACCGCCGCTGCCTCCACCAACGCCGCCTTCTGCGTCGCTGCCGGGCTGTGCGGCTGCAGCGCATGCGCATGCCGAAGCGGAGGCGGAGGCGGAGACGGAGGCGGCGGCGGAGGAGGAGGCGGAGGCGGAGGTGGAGGAGGAGGCGGAGGCGGAGGCGGAGGCGGAGGCGGAGGCGGGTGCGGGTGCGGGTGCGGGTGCGGGTGCGGGTGCGGGTGCGGGTGCGGCGGGGGCGGCGGCGGGGGCGGCGGAGGTGGTGGCGACGGCGGAGGCAGCGGCGGGGGTGGCGGAGGTGGCGGCGGCTACGGCGGGGTGACGGCGCAGCGTAAGAGACGCGGCCGGCAGGGCCGAGGGTGGCAGGGCGCGGGGCGGGGCGAGGTTGGCGTCCGCCCAGCTCTCGTCACGCGCCGCGGAGATCGCATCTCCGTCGGAGACCGCATCTCCGTCGGAGATCGCACCTCCGTCGGAGATCGCACCTCCCTCCCACTCCGGTAGCACCGCCTGCGAGCGGCGGGTCGCGCCCGGTCGGGCGGCAAAGGGGGAGGGGGGGGGGGGGCATGTGAGATGAGAACGCAACGCGCATGCAGGGGAGAGGGAGGTGAGACGCTGGTAGCTGGCTGCGGGACTCGGCTGCCTCTCATCTATCTCTCATCTATCTCTCGGCTGCCCCTCGGCTGCCCCTCAGCTGCCTCTCGGCTGCCTCTCGGCTGTCTCTCGGCTGCCTCTCGGCTGCCTCTCGGCTGCCCCTCGGCTGCCTCTCGGCTGCCTCTCGGCTGCCTCTCGGCTGCCCCTCGGCTGCCTCTCGGCTGCCTCTCGGCTGCCCCTCGGCTGCCTCTCGGCTGCCTCTCGGCTGCCCCTCGGCTGCCTCTCGGCCGTCTCTCAGCCCCACCTGGCTGCCTCTCGGCTGCATCGCGGCTCCATCCTCGAGCCTAGTAGTCAGCTCCCCATATCTCCCCATATCTCCCCGGATCTCCCCGGATCTCCCCATATCTCCCCATATCTCCCCAGATCTCCCCCCTCAAGCCTGGTAGTCAGCCCCCACGCACACCCGCCGACGAGGCACGTACTGATACGGGTCGGCCCCTGTTCAGAGGGAAATGCGATCTCCGAGGGAGATGCGATCTCGGACGAGGCACGGAGGGGTGAGCCGAGCCGCCAGTATTACCGCCGCCTCCCCCAACGGCGGCGGCGGCGTCAATCGTACCTGCGTCACCACCGTCA